GAAACCTAGTTCTTTCCTTTTGCAAAATGAACTTCAATAGCCATTTCTAAATCTTCTAGTACTTACTTAGAATAAATATAAACTGAGATAAAGAGATGGATTACATGTTGTGGACAATTTACTTTTTTCTTATTGGGCACTTCAACACTTTTTTAAATTATGCAAAACAGAAAAGAACTTACTAAAATGTATATATTAAAATTGGTATTCTTTATGGTATCTAATAATCTTTATGCAAGTAATTAATGATATCCCTTTTCTGACATGCTTCTCCTTCAATTCACCTTAAGCCTAAACATCACCCAAAAAAGATGGGACCAGTATTGGCTTAAGTATCTCTTAATAATAGTAGCATCACTAAGTAATGAAAAAGGCAGAATGCAAAATAAATAAATATAGCATGACTTATAGGTAAGTCACTGGTAGATCGCTGCCCTGCATTACGTTTTCTTGAGAGGGAAGGTTTCAATTTAGACTCAATACAAGCAATCCATTAGTCCAGTACAGTGATCCACTTCACAGACAGTACTAATGCATCTGTTTTCTAAAGGTAGCTACAGACATTTAAGACAGTGCTTATTTGTGCCAGTCCCGACCTCTTTGCCTTCACTCCACCTGTCTTGGTTGGTGTATCTGCATCGGGTGGTAGGGAGCACACCCAGGATGTTATTTCTCACAGCAGCCTAAGAGTGAATGCTTCAGGAGACTGGCCAAATAGGGGAATACTTCTTCCACAGATAATCCTTCTACTTTTGCACAAACTGCAACAGTATCACCCCATTTAACAGCCCTGAGCATCTTCCTATGAATTTGTCTTTGTACGACCCTGTGCATTCAAATCGCATAGCCTGTAACTTGTATGTATTGGCATTTGTGTGACCTAAAAAACCTCGGGCCAATTCATGCTAAGATTAGACAACACTATATTAACTGACCCAGTCATTATTTTAAGTAAAGCGGACACATTTCAGTCCTTTACATTCACCAGGCATCTTGCCGTATATTAATAATGTTGACAGAGAGTTTAATACCATCTGAGGACAGCTAGGACACATCTCTAGCTTGTTCTGTCTCGACAGAAGATGTCAAAATATATCCACATGAAAGGAAAGATTGCAGTGAGGCTTAGATTGGGGTAACACACCTTGACGTGTGTTTCCAGCATGGTCAGATCAAGCTATTCATTTTCCCATTGTGCTGCCACAACCTCAACAGAAATATAAAAGTGACAAAAAGACACTTATTTGACAAATCTAAACCTTGAAGGTTAGCAGTAAGTAGTTTACTTATAGGAAAGAGGCTGGAAGTCTACAATAAAGGTTTAGATCTACAATTTAACATGATAACAACATACAGCTAGTTTGTTCAGACATTTTTATACTTGTCAAATTGGTTGCCTGTAAATACAGAGAGGAGCACTAAAGAATACTAACAGAAGATCTAACGTAAAATAAAACACTCTATTCAAGGGAATTCAGGAACTTAGAGCTAATTTCAAAATGTTAAGCAAATAGTTTCTTTTTATGAAGCATGCTAATATAGCATTTGACATGGTATAAAAATTGAACATTTTAACTCTGAGTAAAATCAATGCAAACTGTAGAAACAGACAAGTTCTTTCACACCCTGAACAATATCAGTCAACTTGGCAGAGAAATAACAGATGATGTGCTTGTGGTATTTTTAAATAAGCTTTCTCATTTCAGTGCATTTTCAGCATAAAAATCTGGTACCTATTCATAAATTGCCTGTTGAATATTTGCTCACCAATCTCTGTCATTTAAACCTTTTCTAGAATATTCAAAACTACCCCAAATAGATGCACATCTGGATATATTTATGTCTGCATGCATGCATATACATAAAGAAAAAACATGTATAGAAATAAGTCCCCTTTGAAGTAAAGATACAAGTCCATATCCTAAAAGACAGCAAAAAAAAAAAAAAAAGGGAATAAATATTTAATTAAACCTAGAATGGAAATTCATTTAGCAGTGAATATGCAGGCACCAAACTGATACCAGAGACAGTTTCTACCTACTCCTTTACCATTGTCTTCAGAGACAGCATACAGAAGAAAATTTAAAACTTATCATAAGAAAAGTATTTTGCCACCTTTCCTAAGATATGATGACCTTAGCTACTGTAACTTTGAGGGCAATCTCACAGATCACTTACAAAGATATCGTTGCATGAGGAACTCTCAAAACCACAGGAGAAGGCCATCCCCAGGTCCCATAAGCCAGCAATGTGCCCTTGTTGCCAAGAGAGACAATGGAATCCTGGGCTGCACAGGGAGAAGTGTGGCCAGCGGGTTGAGGGAGGTCATTCTCCCCCTCTACTCTGCACTGGTGAGGCCACAACTGGAATACTGCATCCAGTTCTGGGCTCCCCAGTTCAAGAGACACAGGGAACTACTGGAGAGAGTCCAACGTAGGGCAACTAAGATGATTAAGAGATTGGAGCACCTCCCTTATGAGGAAAGGCTCAACAAGCTGGGGTTCTTTAGCCTGGAGAAGAGAAGGCCAAGGGGAGACCTCATCTATGTTTACAAGTTCCTAAGGGATGGGTCGAAGGATGATGGAGCCGGACTCTTTTCAGTGGTTTCCAGTGATAGGACGAGGGGCAACAGGCATAAGCTGGAACATGGGAAATTCCATGAAATATGAGGAAGAACTTCTTTACGGTGAGGGTGACAGCACTGGAACAGGCTGCCAAGAGAGGTCGTGGAGTCCCCTTCTCTGGAGATTTTCAAGACCCGCTTTGATGCAGTCATGAGTAATGTGCTCTAGGCAATCCTGCTTTAGCAGGGGAGTTGGACTAGATGATCTGTAGAGGTCCCTTCCAATGCTGTCAAATCCATGAATCCATGGTATTTTTGTGTACAAGATATTTTGTATCCAAATACTTAGGATTTAATATTTTTGTTTGTTCAAGTTCTAGGTCAAATAAAAATGAACTGCACTGATTTATGTTGTGTAAAAATTTTTTGTTTTGAGGTGCTACCACTGAGCGCTAAGATCCAAATTCAAGAAAACATCTTTCTGTATAAGTTGTCTGATGCAGAACCTTAAATGCCTCCTGAAATCTCACAACTGAATGATACTTGCATTTTTTATATTGTCTCTCACGAAGAGATGGATTTAAAACATGCTTTCCTGTCACCCTTTTCAGAAGTTTTTCCTCATAATTTTTGTGCTTTCTTCATCTACAAAATATGTAATATTTGCACAGGAACAGCTTATCTTCTGACAAGCCAGCACTGTTTTATCCACTTTTTGACCTGCCAACTTTAAGGTTAGAAAAGAATTACTGTCTTATCCCACTGAAATGACCAGTTTATGATCCTCAGGCAAAGAATATTGCCTGAAAAATGACACTGGTACTTAAGAAAAAAAGACAGAGCCCTTGAGCTATGTTGCTTGAAATGCAATCAGTGCTTGCATTCCCCTTTCCCCCCCTGCAACATGCATTTATTCTGTATACTATCTATGTTACATATCTATGATATTTAATCTATCTACTATACTTTTGTAAATAATTTTTTCAGTACCTATTTTCCACATCTCTCGGCTGGTTTTCATCCTCATTGGTTTATTGTTTGCTCTTTTCCAGGCTTTTGTAAATGTTGCTACTACTTCCTATTTCCAGCTTCTCGAGGGTCATTCCTGCAAGTATAGTTAACTTGCATTTCATTCTTCTCCTTCAAATTACTAATGAATATGTCAAACAAGAACAGCTTTTCTATTATACTAGTTCATCTGCTAATTAAGTACTTCTCAGTACTTGAACTGTTATCTTTTTTTAATTTGAATTTTTAAGTCTTGACCCATTTTCACTCCACATGACAATGTCTGGGTTGAATGACAGTGATTTAAAATGGCTGTTTGAGCAGTAATACATGTGTGTCCCCAAGCTGTCAGACAACACCAATGTTTTAGAATCTGTCTTCAGAGAAGCTGGGAAAAAAACATACTCTATCCATTTTCTTTGGAAGTATTTAAAAGACATGTAGATGTAGTGCTGAGGGACATGGTTTAGTAGTAATTTGGCAGTGTTACATTAATGGTTGGACTTGATCTTAAAGGTCTTTTCCAAACATAACGATTCTATGATTGTATTCTATTCTGTTCTATGATTCTATTCTCAACTACAGCAATGGCTGGGCTTTTAAATACGGAGAGATGGCAAGAACTGCATGTCTTAGCTGGATTCATGCCCATCTCTGCAAACCAGATAGAACAGGTCTGCGAGAGCTATTCCACACATACTAAAATCCAGAAAAACCCCACCAGCCAAATATCTTTATTTGTGAGAGGACTTCATCTGTTCATGATAACAAGAGTTTTACTGACACTATGAGTGCATCCTTGTAAACAAAACCTTGCTCTTTTACTCTCACCACATAAACAGAAACAGTTACAACATTTTGGAAATAGTACTTCCCCTGACAAAAAGAACAAGAAATAGGATCTGCAAAGTGAACAAATTCATTTTTCCAGATACCTTGATAGCTTTTTGAACCACTTCTAACTGCTAACACAATTTAAAGTCCAATATAAATTTGCAGTAATTCCAATGGTCTAAATTCATTCTATTTTACTTATAACTTAAGCAAATACCAGCAATCAAATGGTGCATGTATTATTAACAGATTATCACACTATTAGGTTTTGTTATAATAAAAACTTCTAGAAATAACACAATGAAAAACATACTGTGCATAAGCCCAGTAACACTGCAATATTAGAAATGCAGATGTATTAGTGCAATTACCAACTGTTGATAGCCTTGAGTTTCAAAGTCACTGAATTCTACATTTCTGATTTTATCTTATACAACATCTGCAATCCAAGCATATGACAACAATGCTACCAAAAATTGCTAGCGATTTCCATTGATTCTGATAGAGTAAAATGGGAATTATTTAGAAACAGGATGTGTCTGATAGCTGTATTGATCACCAGCATCTAAATGGATACAAAAAGTATTTTTCCTACCTTATAATCATCCTCATAGTCATTATATCCACATGTACTTAAGATGTCAGGGAAAATATCTGACCATCCGTTACTCGTACAATTTTTGCTAATATTTCCTGTAAAGCAAAATTTGAGAGTTTAAATTAGAAAGATTCAAAAATCTCCTCATCAATGAATCTTTAGACAGCTTAACTTTGTTATTCCCTGTTAACATGCTGTATTTCCTAGTACTCCTGTTAAAGTAACCCAGCCATTTCCTTTCATGTGCTTTTTATTCATATTACTTTGGCTTTTACTCTTCTCTGAATTGCCTTTGCATTAAAGAAAAACAAAAGTAATTCCAAGCTGCAATGGCAGGCTTCAGTTTGGTATAACAGCAATTTCTGTTACATCTGCAAAAGCATGAAATATTTTGCTGTTTTATCTAAATATTCTGGAGGGAGTCTTTCAGCTCATTCTATAAAGGGGATAATTTGTAGGTAAAGTAATTTGATAGAAAAGTAATTGAAGTGAAAGTTGTTCTAACCTCCTATTTAAGCTTTTCTGAGAACATAATACCAAATGATCTATTGAAGAGTTATAAAATCTCTTAGATATTATAGTGATGAATTACTGCTACAGCAAATGTTGGTAAAGTTGCCAAAAGGCCAAATTATGTGATCGGGTGAAGAACGTAATGCACTTTAAAGGCCAAATTATGTGATCGGGTGAAGAACACGGAAATAAATATGCATGCTGAATCTCACTCTTTGAACCAATCACTGAAATAATGTAGTACCAGGAATGTACAGGAGACATTCAAGTATGGTTGGAAAGGAATTTTGAACATCTATAAATTTCAGAAAGGATTTTTTGGCTAGAACTGAGCAAAGAAGTTGACCCTTTTTCCAGATGAAGTCATGCAGATGAGAGGGGGGCAACCCATGATTCTACTCCTTAATCTAATTAATATGAACTAGTGTTCATGCAATACGAACTGCTTCAATAGGAGAACACTGAAGAGTTTGATGTCAGAATAAAGAATAGTCATTAAAATTATTATAACTTTTACAATGTTAAATCATAAGTAACTTCCCCTGACTTCCTTACAGTCATTTTTATATCCATGATACTTCAAATCTATAACAACTTATTGCTTTGGTTTGGAGTTTACCACTGGTCTTTGACTTAAAGATGCCTGGTTTTCACCACACAAGAACAAATTTATGTGTCACAGATCAGCTTTGGCCAAAAATAACCAAAGGTGTTTATATACACTCCAAACTGAAGGTTTTGTGATTTTTATCTTGCTGATTGGTTACTGGAATTTCTTCTTTGTATAATGTCTTCAGCGGAAAGTTGTAAATATCCTACAAATGGGTGACCAACCAACAACCAAATCTTTCTAGCTTATAACAAGACCTTGACCTAAAACCACAGTGTCTCCTCAAACAACAGGGCCACTTCTGCTACTTGGCATAGACATGGCATTTTTTAAAGAAAATGTAACCTATTTATACACTCTGAAGAGTCATCACTTTAAAAGTACATCAACTTCTCTGACTAGGCAGAGCAGAGGAATGTGTTAACAGAATCACAAATTACGTCAAAGCTAGCTTTGCAAGAAAAAGACTGTTAGGGTTTAGATCTATTCAAGATGCTGAAGTATTTTCTACTATAAGTACTTTAAGACCTTCTAACTTAAAGACAGTTAGGCAATTTTCTGTGGAAGACTGTTTATTTCTACACCACCATTCCATACAATTAAATATTTCAGACAGTAACCCCATTTAAAACCTGTAACTTGACACAGACATTTAAATAAAAAATTCACAGAATAACTTTCTGATAGTCATATACTTACATCATTATGTATAATACAGAAAAAAACATTACAGGATAATATGATTGTTTTTACAGTAGAAAGTCATTTAATACAAAGTTACTAATATTCAATAGGGAATTAGTTATGTGGTATGCTTAAACTATAACCCTGACTATCACAGAAGAAATTAAGAGCCAGTTCTGCAAAAGTTTTAAAGATGAGAAGACAAATGTTTGGTTTTTTAATTTACAATTTAAATTAAGACATCCTTTAAAGAACTGATGTTATTTAAAAGCCTACTTACGATTTGGAATACTTCCATAAAAAATAAGGTAGTCTAGATCACCTTGTAGTAGAATTTTAATTCCACTTAAACCCTGAAAAACCTAAAACATACATCTTAGAAATCTGGCTAAATAAAAAGTGTTAGACCTCTTGTTTAAAAAGATTTTTATAATTTCCTGCTATAAGAATCAAGTGAATTTGAAATGTCCTGTCTGTGAATTAAATAAATTATATATTGTTGAGAATAAACACATTTTAAGGTGCTGAGATACTTAGATCTTAATAGAATCAACCATGCAAGATGTCTGCTGTCTTATATCTGACGGAAGAAATTATAGAAAGACAAGATTTAAAAAATCCTGTTAATTGAACCACTAAAAATCCACCCTGTTTGTTCCACAAGCAAGAAGTAAACAAGTAGCTATGAAAAAAAGCTGCATATGGGAAAATTATAGCAAACTATAAAAAGGAAGTGAACTTTCAGCCTTGATGATGCTATGCCCAAATGAGATAGAGTTGCAATATATTTTGAAGGTTTCAAACTTAAATATTTATTGCAGTTATTTTATAGGAAGATTAAAATGTTATTGTAATGTTGTAATATATACATTAATTATCAAACATTCAAACTACAGAGAGAGCATGCATGCTTTGGCTTTCAGCAAATAGAAGCAGTATGATTAATTCAGATTTGGGGTTTTTGATATTTATGAGTTTGTATTGACTCATGACAACACTTTAACATCTTTCTTTGAGTCATCTAAATACTTTTATAGATTTCACAAGATTTAGTGAAGATTACACATACTTTTTCCCTTTATAAACTGTTTAGACGGTCCATGATAAACTAATCAAGATTCACCAGCTCTAGGAATGAAAACCTTTGCTCATCTGTAGATTGTTTTAGTTATCTGGTTTTTTACTGGAACAAGAGTTTTGAGAATAAAGGTATTTTAGTCATACCCCAAGTTAGCCTCTATGGTAAAAGTAATATTGTTAAAACGTTCTCCACTGAGACCTCAAAAGCAGAATTAAATCACTGTGATGTTTTGCATCTTTCACCAGCTCTTAATGACAAAGGTTTCTTACCTGAGGAAAGGGGATAAGATTTTTCCTGCTACATTTTGAGATCCATATGTGAAATTCTATCTGTGCATCCTCTATTTTTGAAACCACTAACAAGCCAAAGTGCAAAATTAAACTACTGTATGATACATTGACAAGACAGTCCAAAAGACATTAGACTTGAAACAGTTAAACGTTTCAGTGTTCAGAGACACTGATGAGCTCTTTTCAAGTTCCATTAAAAAGCAGAATAAAAGGTTTCATAATAACCACCTTAAATTGCAATAGTGATAATTTTTAGATATTATGTGTTAAAGTTGGTTCATTATTCTAATGAAGGCAAGGTAGAGCTCCCCTCCTAAGCACAGAAGGAACAACCTGCATGTGACCTGCTGGCAACTGTTAAAGATGTCAATCACACTCAGCTGCCTTAATAATTAACATAAATAGGTCAAAAATAGCAAGCAATGTCTTCAGCCTTGATGAGTGTCACTATATCAGAATACATATTTAGTATCTGACTCAAACACTGTATGGACCACAGAGACAATTATTTGGTCTTTTCATGACGTAACAGGAACAGCTCTTTCAAGAATCTATTATTTTTTAGCATATTATGTTATAAAATACCAAAAAGAAGCCAGCAAAAAGACACTTTAAAATTTAATACCTGGTTTTCCAGAAATAAGGCTAAATACTTTTGGACAAGGGACAGTGACAGTCTCTCCAATCTTTGCAGGACGCCAACAGGTGATGTTATCCCAAACTCCAACACATCCTGAAACATAACCAGCAGTTACAGACTTGAAAGTTCAGTCTGGTTCATATCACCCTTCTGTATTTATCTTATAAAGACTTGGCGGAAGCTTTCAATAAGTAGTTCAAGAAAGATTAGACTCTTTCAAGAAAGTTGCAAAGATGGTATTTTGCATGAAAATGTTAAGGGAATCATAAGACTGTTAATTAACCAGCTTATTTCTAGGTCAGTTAATACATTGTTTGCAAAATGTCTCATTAAAACAATGTTATTTTGACAGACCATGCTAAGAAAAGCTAAGAAAATGTTAAAAAAAAGTAAAGTAGTTTGACTTGACTCAGCATCACAAATACAATGGGAGTGCACCGTGATTGGACAACTTTTGGAAAAAAGGGCACGGACTTCCAAAATCATCTCTCCTAAACTAAATAGCAGAGATTTGAACAAAGAATGCTTCTGTATATTTATTTAAAGAAAGGCTGCCATAAAATGTTACAGACATGTTTTACAGTAGTACTAGTAACAAGTAATTATGGTTTTGCCCATGCTGATGTCTCTATAGATGTGGCTAAAAAGCAGTACTTTGTGAATGAGGATAAATCTTTCTATAATTAATTAGCTCGTATATGGCTAAACCTCATCTCTGTAAGGCTGCACTGCTGTTTAAATTAGTATTTCTAAAGCAAACACCTAAAATGAGTCAGAAGAATTTAATCCTAAAAAAATGTTTATTTCTTCTCAAGAGAGTCTGAAGTTCTTAATTCAATTGCAGAATCTTGACTGTAGGTACCTATTTTATCTAATCAATCCCACCCTTATTTGCTTAATACTGTGTGATGAACCTCAGCTTGTCAAATCTCCAGTCACCTGAAGAGGATTAATTGTTTTAGTTCCTTTAGAACTTTGACTCCTAGACCAATATGTTAAATTCCTTCTTTTAGCCCTACCTTAGGGTAAGGGAGATTTATTTATGACTAGGAACTGTGAGAGTGGCATTCTTTTTATCTGAATTCCACAGTTGGCTGAGAAGTTCCTGTTCCCACTGACAATTCACTCTTTTCAGGTTTCTGGTCCACACCTCTTGGGGTTTTTTTTGGCAACTGACTCGGAATGTAATACTCTTGAAACTCCATAATAATTCCTTTTTTCCTGATGATTGTGCAGGGTTTGTCCTTTCTAGTGTATCTGCCCCAACAGCTGGTTCATATTTTTCTTTAGAATTAACTAACTCATGTGTTTTATCTGTGCTCTGCTTTATCTGAACACCTTCTACTCTCTCCAGCACTCGTGGCTTTTCTTTTAGCATTAGTAATGACATCTCTGAGGTGATGTTGATTTGGTCATGTATACATAATTTAAGAGATTTACATTTGAGCAAGTCAACTTCGTACCCTTTGAAGTCAATGGAATTTAAACATGCTCAGGTGCTTCCCAAGTTGCAGTACTGGATTAAAACAAAGTCCTTCATCTCTATGATGCAACACCAGGGCTTATGCAAAATAAAAGAATATCTACTTCAGCCAATTGAGGTCATGCTTCCTTCCCAATTGAGTTTAAGCCAGAAACAACATCAACAACGTGACATACAAGAAATACAAAGAAACTATTTTCTTCATCTGCCAGCACTCAGAACTATAGTGACAAAATGCAACTCTTTTGGCTTTGATGGATGTAGTGCCTGAGCCAGCATAAACAAGCCTCAGAGTACACAAGAATAATTAGCATCTTGTGCGACTTCAGACCTTTTTAGTTCATCCCCATTTCCACTAACAAGTGAGAGCTGAGATGAGTCATGGAAGTGTTCATGCACACACATAAAAGCTGATGACTTTCACAAATTTTCCCTTTTGTTCAGTATACTCTCTGTAAAATGCTGGATTTGCTACAGGTATCTGCAAACAGTTCAGAGGCCTTTATAAATTTTTGCTACACTGCTATATTGACAGGGCTAAGGTTTTGTTAAAAAGGCAGCTGAACAACATGGACTTCAGAGCTTCATTAGTACCTTTTCCACAAAAAGCCACAAAACTCTTATTCAAGCTTCACTTACATGAAATATACAGAAAAATAGAGGTCCAAGACCTGTTCCTACCAAAACAGATCAACGCAATTTGCATCAGATCTTTAAGTTAGCTTGCAGGAAGGAAATCAGTACACAAGTTTTTGACATTCAAAACATTACAAGTTCAAGACATCACTAATGTTTTCTGGGGAATGTAATTTTTACCTCAGTTTTTCTTCAGTATTTTAGGACTTTAAGGAATCTATGGCAAAGGAGAGAATGATACTTTTTCCGAATCCTTAAATCAAATAGAGGAAATAACACAAAAGATATATTTCCTACATCTAGACTACATTCACATGCATCAACGATCATGAGAATGAAGCTTGAGTGGCTGTCAGAATTCCAAGGAGAACATTGAGCCTCAATTTATGTATACATACAAGCTTATTTATTATGGTACAGGAAATGTGAGAAAACTGCTGAAATGTCCTAGAGGCATTTATAGTCACTGAATGACTACAGTGGACTTCTGAAAAGTGGTCTGAGGCTAAATGCTGAAATGACGGTGTTACTGGTGCACTGCTAGGGGCTGCTAGAAGTACAACTGTTAACAATACGCACTTTTCTGGGCTTTCAACTCACACCTTTGCTCATTTCCCCCTCTTACTACTACAGATTTTTGAAAATACTGTAGTCATATATCTTTTTCTTCTCTCAGCAAAACACACCCTGATACAGAAGTGGGATACAATTAACAAGTCTATTTTTACTACATTTGCATCAATTTGTCTCTTCCATCCCCAAAACATGTCTCTATTGTACAGCACAAGCTTAATTGTGCACAATTGAAACTAGCAATTAATTTCCCACTGATTTTGGAAATTCAAAATGTGTCACAACTGAGACCTTGGTGAGTTTCACAGTTCTTCAACTAGATATTGCTCTTTACCCATCATAGTGTCCTTTTACAAAAACAACCACAAATGCAATATTGTTAGAGGGTGACAGAGCATGATTCACTTCATCCTAAAACACATGAAAATAGGCCAGATTAATTGCTCCCAACAATTGCCTGTTTCTCCCCTGTGACTATAGAGCAGCCTACAGTCCTATAAATACCTACATTGTTGGAAAATGAAGATGTGATAAATGCTTTGTTAAATGTGTCTCTTCCTGCACATAGAATATCTAGCTTGATCAAGCTTGATATTCTACTCTCTACTCACTTACTCTCTATTACTCTCTGTCCAGCCACTAATTCATTCAGTGTTAGGATTTCTGGACTGACATCCATCACTGCTACTTTTCATAAAATCATTATGTACACTCTTATTCTCTGGAACTTTTACACATCCCCTGTATATATAAGCCTGTTTCCTACTATCTCCAAAGGGTATTAATCAATTAAGATACAAAACATATTTATATCTAGCTTTAAACAAGGTTTTAAGCTTTAGTTCCAGTAAGAATCCTACCAGTAATTCTATAGAAAGTATCTCACATTTTAAATACAACTTAAATTGTTCCAATGTTTATTTTCATGTTTGCAATTTTCTTATCATCCTTTTAAAAAAATTATTCTAATTAACCAAACATATATAATTATAACATAAATACCACAATAGAAAGGATATAATTACATTCATATCCTTTTATGTTCATTCATTGATATAGTCTCTGTTTCCATCTAGCTTCAATAAATTCTCAAGCTTTCAATGTTTTTGTCCTTTCACCCTGGTACGTACACATATAGAACCTGTCCCGCTCTTGATCTGTCTTGGCTCCCCAACTTTTCCTGTGCACCTTTACCACTATACTTTTTACTTCCTTCTTTACCTATTAATGAAGCTAGCAAAAAGGAAAAAAAAAATAGGCTCTTCATTTCTGTTTCTGTGGTGTCTGGAATACAAAAAAAAACCCTTTTCAACTGCTACTTTTACCTCATTTATTGCTCTGGTGTGTCATTCACAGCCTAGCCAAGGAAACAATCAATCTTCCTAGGGAACCTTTACTCAATGACTTGCTCAAAAGTGTGGCCACGGTGTCACTCCTCTACTGCTCTTCACTCCTGCTCCTCTAAATGATGTTCTAGATGATATTCTTAGTTAGTTTCAATGAGATCACTTACTTTATTTGAATGCTTTTGCAAATACTTCATGATGAAAAGAAACGCAATAGAGACAATATTTTTTTTCTCATTTTTTTCACCTTACATACATATTGCCACCACATTCGTCATCCTGCTGAGATCCAGTTTTTGAGCACGAGTTTGCTTACCTACGCGTATTTCTTCATCTATAAAAATGTGTGACACTGAATTTGTACTGGCAAATCTTGTTCCCATACATATTTTATCCATATATTAACCACTAGGTGGCACTTTGCATTTGGATTTTAAAAATTGCCAATTCAAAAAGAGGTTTAGCATTTTTTAAACTGTCTAGGCGTGCTTGATGCGTGAAACAAAGAGAGGGTGCTTTGAAAATCAGCCAGAAAGTTGTCAGCTAGTCCAGGGTTTGTTTTTCAAACAGGGAAACCTTTTGATCTTTGTACTTCACTTGAGAAAGCAGAAGCAATCTCACCTCTTATGGGCAATGTTTTCTAGGCTGTAGGTCTGAACACTGGAACATGTAATTTAGGCTGCATGTGAATTTATGAACACATACGGACTGAAATTCTTTCAGCATTTTCATCCAAGTAATAAGAAAGAAATGAAAAGGAGGTGCCAGGGAAATAGCACACTACCAGTCTGGAGGGAAAGCAAACACACAGCAGAACTGCTTAAAGCAGTAATAGGAATGAGACGACAGCAAAAATACTGTTGCTCCAAGCTACTTTGCTAAAATTTGTCATCTACTTTTGTCAGGGCCCTGAGTGCACTAATAGGCCTTAGTGGCCCCTGATCAGGGTCCCCTCTAAGCTCAGGTCTGGGCCTTCAGCGGTGTTGTGGGAGCAAATGACTTCAGCCCCACCACAGCGGTGCCTGTGCCGGCCTCTGCCTGGGCCTGCCCCAGTG